TTTATATACATTTATATAAATTTTATTTAGCGGATGGATAAACAATCTTTTTATTTATATTTATATTTATGTTTATATTTAAATGATAAAATATATACATTTGGTTCAAGAATCTCGAATTCAAAACTACAAAATTTTTACATCTTTCATAAATTTTTTACTTAAATAAATAAGATAATCTCCTTTCTATATATGTTACGAATACTTAAAATCCTATTTTTTGGAGGAGTTCTAACTTTTCGAAGAAAAACATTATAATCACATTTGTATATAAACCAAAATCTGGCCACATTATAACCATTTCGTAAATAATCCATTCATAATCTAACAATCTTAGATTTGGAACACTACAAAATCTTAGCTTGGAAACTATCAAATCTCATCTTTGCTAAATTTTGGATTTCTTATACTTATTAAAAAAAAAAAAATCTTTTTATACTACAAAATCTCGAAATCTTTAAAACATACGGAAAGACATATTGCCATAAATGGTAACATTTCGTCAATACTTTTTTATCACGTTGAAGCTTTATTCAAGGTTCAAATATTTCACGGGTAAAACATATTCTTATATGAAATATTCCCAAATTTGAATAAAACAAAAAAACATTTGTTTTTTTCAATGTTTGTTTCGTTTTACACAAACGGATCTTGGATCCCGGATAATAATTTTAATCATAATAATTTTACTTGAATCACTTCATCTCGCACATCGTGCGGGTTGTTATCTAGTATATTTTTATTTTAGATTAATGTAACGTGAGTTAAATGTATTACTTTAGTTGCTTTCTAGAGGAAATAAACATTTTTTCATATCAAAATGCCAAATTTGAGTGTCAAGTTCTCAACTAAACATAGTAAAAGTTTAAATGATAGAAATGCATTTGGTGTGTTGTGCACAAAATAAATTATAACAATGTGCATGTGAGAATACCTGGTGCATCAACGAAAACATTAGTTTAGCGAAGGAAGCAGAGCGAGCTCATTACTTGGTGCTCAATTAACATTCTCTAATTTAGCACTTATACTAACTCATTTCCAATAAAGCACTACGATTATTCATTTAAATTCCTATTAATTCTTGATAGTAATTCCTTCCTTTTTAAGTATAATTTATTAACTGAAACATACAAATATACTTAGCGTGAATCTTGACATCGACAGCCATCTCCTATGAAGGTAGAAAAAATTTGGTGTTATTATGTAACAATAAAAATATAGGGCTAAAAGACGAAATAAAAGAAATTTCAGCCTATCTTCTAGGAATGTGGAAGAAGTTTGATATTATTGTTTAGAAATAAAACATAGGAATAGAAATCGAAAATACAAAAAAAATTCAGGGAGTTGGTTTTAAAAAGCGGTAGACAAAGTCAAGGATCAATGTGTATATATTCAATTGTTAATTAAATTTCGGTTTACAAAACAAACCGGAAATACTCAGATTAGGGGGGAAAATACTCCCATGTGATTCGAAATGTAGTTTGAATTTTGTAAAGAGTGTTTTAACTTTTAACGGACCAAAAATATTCAGATTAGGGGGGAAAAATATCATTTTCAATTTTAAATCCAAATGGTTTAACGGAATAAAGCAGGGTATTTTGGTAAATTACATATTCTTAAGTCTTAACCACTACAAATAGAAGCTTTTATTTTTCTCTCTCGACAACTATTCCGACTCAAAACAAACAGCTTCGTCGTCTCTATGGAGAGCTTTTACGATTTCAAAATAGAATCAATCCAATTATTGATCCAGAGATGAAGATCAATTAATCACAGTGATGAAGTCTGATGGATGCGATCGTATTTTGGCGAAATCCTTTTTGTGATTGAATCAGAAACCTTCCCAGAACAGAAGAGTGTGATTGAATCTGGGATCTGGTGAAGTACGTTTAGATTGGAGATGTTAAATAAGGTTTTTTAAAAATTAATGTAATTTCATACCCCTTTTTTATTTTAGTGAATCCTAGAGATTTTCATCGATCGACAGAATGTGTAAATACTTTTATCAGTTTATATACTTATGGAGTGTTTTTGTTTTAAAAAAAGTTTTATTCAATTAAATCAGTCTTGCATTTGACTGCGACATTAGTTATTGTAGTTTGATTGAAATATCACCAGCCGTTTAAAAGAGTCTTTTTTTTTTTCATATTTATACAAAGGGTTGTAGAGTACGCAGGACGATGTGATGCAAGCCAGATTAGAAAAATTAGGTTGGATATTAGTACTGTATTTAGCTATACCAAATAAAGACAGTTGATTATGTGGAAGCTTTATGTTTGCTTAAAAAGAAAGTGATAGTTTCATTGTTAGTACTTAGTGTCAGTGTCACTCTCACTATGTATTAGATTGGTTCCCATTCAATTAATGTACAAGTAAACTCTGGAATAGTTATGGGTCTGTATAACAACACTATTAGTAATAGTAGTTGATTTTGTTAAAAATATACAATAACCTGACCCTATATATTAACAATCTCTTGGTAGATCCTACATTTATTAGTACTACTCTCTTTGTCACATCTCTCTTTTAAACCATAACTTTACATCTAAAAGTAAAAATATATTCTATAATATGAAAAGATTTATATATCCATATATATTGTTTGAAAGTACTCGAAATCCTTTATCATGCAAGTATTCGCTCCATCGTTAGCTCTTCATTAATATCAATGATATAACGTGCCACTAGAATTATGTAGCCTGTTTTGTATTTTTCTTAATATCAATGGTAAAGTTAAGAAAAAATAAAGCTAACGCAGAACTTTTGATATAGTGCTATATGTAAATTTAAGAATTTTGAAAAAAATTAGACCCTACTAAAAAACTGGTGGTACGTATTTTGTAATATAATACTATATGTTATAACAGCATTGGATATGATATGTTAGAGCATGGTTATAGGTGATATTTATAAAATATTATTAAAATTTTTTTAATATTATTTATAATATTTTGTTTATTGTTTGAGTTTTTTAATGATTTTTAATGGTTATAGAAGATACTCATAAAGTATCATAAAGTATAGTTATATGTGAATTTTTAGAAATTTTTTTTCTGTTTTTTACCTCACGAATCAGCTGCCGCCACCTCACCCGATACTGAGTATCAGAAGTATCATTCTACTGATACTGATCAGGCCCAACTGTATACTCTGATCCATTAAACAATTACTTATGGGTTTCTGATACTTTCGTTATATCAGTTATGTACATGGTTTTATCTCCTCTAAAAGCCTTCTTGGGAAACAACAACAACAGCTCCAACTTCCATACCAAATTCTTTTGAATAAAACAAAAATTTCAGATGATTACTTTCTTTGCCACTCTACTTTTTATACGTTCAGTCGTTTTACTTACTTTCAGTCGTTTTTCGTTTTCTTCTGAAAATTAATGATTTTACTTTTATGCCAATACACAACATTAGAGCTGCTAATGATGATTTTTGGATTAATCTATAGAAATTCATGTAAAAAGTGGTTGACGAAAACTAAAAAAGGACATTTTTGATGGAAAAGTTGCAAACTTAAGCTGAAATGCAAATTTAGCAAGATTAGAGTATCATTTGCTAAAGCTGGTATCCATAAAATGCAAAACTGCAAACAGAAAAAAAGATGAGAAACCCTAAAATGCAAAATACAAACAAACACAAACTAAAATGCAAAATCAAACTGAAAAAGATGTACGATTAGCGTTCAAGAAAGCGCTAGGCGTTAAACGGGCAGTGATCTAGTACCTAGCACCTAGAATGCTGGTTTGCCCGATTTAGTGTAAAGGAGTATGTCACGTGATACTAGATGAGACGACTTTAGGAGGTGTAGCAAATTAAACTGTCCTATAAAGTTGACGCGAAGAATTACAACACTTGTTGTAGTTATCATGAAGACAAAATCTCGCATCAGTCGATATTCTTTTAATCTCTAACTATTCAGATGATGTTTTTTCTCTCTTTCGAACTCGATATAAACAAACAAATAATTAAGAATCAATAAAACAATCAACTTCAGTCTTCAGCCTTTGAAATAATTTTTCTGTTTCTTGTTTCTTCTTTTCTTTTATGATATCTGACTATCTTATATATATATTAACATTAATGTCCCTTGATGACATATTTGCTAATTTTGAATTATACTCTAAATATAGTCCTTTTATTTATTTATACAATAATAGTATAGTTTAAAATTCTTACATTTAATTTGAAAAATTCTCATAAGGTCTCTCTATTCACATTTAAAAGGTTATAGTCTTTCACATGTTTTATCCAGATTTCACATTTATTTTATGCTGTTAAAATATTTATTTTCAATTATAATCAATCCACAATATTCTTTTATCACGACATGTTCTAATACGTTGGGTTTGTACTAAATCGTTAAAGAAACGCTAAGTGTCAAGTGTCAACGAACCACATCCTTAATTGAGAAGATTGGCTGAGACGTAGAAGCGTGTAGTCTAGCATTCCTCTGTTTCCAGTCACTACAAGGGAGTATAAGTTAAATACCTTTTATCAAAAATTTCCTAAACGTTTTATTATTCATTTTTGAGTTATAGACTTTGTTAGATGGTATAAGATATGAAAATGACTAAAGTTATTTAGGTTATAATAATACCCCATTGAAAAATCTTATTCTTATTTTTCACTACGATGGTCATGACCCTACAATCTAAAGACCAACGTATTGTGGATCAGTGGATGATGAAGATTGATAATTAGTTGCAGGGTTTTGTTATCATTGTTTGAGACTTTGAGTAGTCGCATGTTTCAATTTGAGACTTTGAGTTCATGTATCAATGTTCTAGAGCATGGTTTATGCAACATTTCAGCAACAAGTCGCAAAACAATGTTTCAGAATCTTTGTTTCTTATGTTACTTCTGGAATTTGAGTTTCAGTTTAACTAGTTACACTTTTTCTCTTCACTTGTGTTTTGTCTAATCATGCTTAAGGTTCATGTTTTTTTATTAGTTTCACATTCTCAACAAGGATCACAAATTCAGACTATTCAGTAATGTTTTACACATAGCCAATAACGGCCCAATAACTAAGCAGCCCAACACACATCAAAAGGAGAACCAATTTGGAATCAAATAGCCCAACAATGACTACAAGAAAAAAAAATAAAACGGTGGCCCAAGATGGAGAGTAATCAGGTAAACCAATCTAATTACGGATTCCACGAAGCTGAGATGACAAGTCAGATGAAACAGAGAAGACGAGAATGGAACATGTTGTTTGGTCCCAATTTATAAACTTCTTTTGCTGGAATCGAGATTGATTAGTTAATTTAAATTATAAAACCAGATTTTGCGCACCCTAAAACTTTGTTCAGACAAAACCAAAACCCTTTCTGTTCTCCCCCATCAAATGATCAATTTATTGAAAACAAAATTCCGAGATTTTATTAAGCATTTTGGAAAATTGGAAGTTTATAGCAAAAGACACGTGATTTCATCGAGACCGTTGGTTGTTAGTAGTGACTTTGGAACGGGTGGTTGAGATTTTAATGAAGTAAATAACATCAGTAGTAAAGCGTTGAGGGAGGGAAGGTAAGCAATCGTAGCCGTTGGATATTGGCAGTGGATTAATCGTAGGGCCGATGTATGGTTATTTGTTTTTCGACTCTTTTCTCTTTTGGCTTTTCTAAGATAAGCAAAATTTGTAATCCAAAAACTTGGCTGCCAAGGCAATTTCCCCTATTAATTATGTAATGTTTTTAGGGTTTTTAACTTTTAAGTTAGCGGAAAAGATCTGAAAATAATCATTTCTTAAAAAATTAGGGTTTTACTTTTCTGTGAACATATCAATGTCTCTGCTTCTCAGACGGCTGTCGGAGCTTTGCCTTTCGAAACCTGCGTCCGTGAGGTCTTCTCTACTTCTCTCTAATGGCTTCTCATCATCGTCTTTGTTGCAAAGCCCTCCTTGTACCATAATCGGCGCTCGTCGTTGTGGACCGTATTTTGGAAGACTCATCATTTTTAACGCTAATGAAGATGACTCCACTTATTTGGAAAAGAAGGTGCCTATGGAGTTGGTAGCTAGTGATCCAATGGTGGTGTATAATAATGCAACTGTAACAATAGGGGCATCTCATGGATGGGTAGCTACTGTGAACAAGGACGACGGCATTATGCGTCTCCGAGATGATTTGAACCCTGCTGCGTCCGATACAGATCCGAGAAGCATTCGCCTGCCTCCTCTTGTCACTCTGCCTCATTGCCAAACCCAAATCATCACCAACGTGGCCATGTCATGTTCTTCTCCCGAGGATGAAGACTGTGTTGTTGCTGTCAAGTTCTTGGGACCTCAGCTCAGCTTTTGCAGACCCGCTCGAAGTCACTCCGATTGGACCAACATCAGAATCGAAAACCCCTGCTTCTTCTCCTCCCGTGTCATGTTTTCCAAGAAAGACGACATGTTTCGCATTCCCGGATCTGGAGGCCACATCATCGGATCATGAGATCTCCGCAGACACAAGCACGATCCCGTATTGCAGAGATTGCGATTCCGAAAACTCCCCGAGCTTCCCAAGACCAAACGGGAGCTTTTGGATTCCTGCTGCATCACCGAACACTTAGTGGAGTCCCCAGCTGGTGAAACATTCTTGGTTAAGTGGTACAGGAAAACTGCACCCGCACCCAAGACTATCAATGGTATGGTGAAAATGCAAACAAAAACTGTGATGGTGTTCAAACTTGATGAAAAAGGAAACGCTGTTTACACTCAAGACATTGGGGATCTCTACATTTTCCTCTCAAAGTCTGAACCTTTCTGTGTCCCTGCTAGCTCTTTTCCCGGCATGTCCTCTAACCGCGTCGAGATCTTGGATGTCAACGAAAACGTTGTTGTCGATCTGTCTGATTACTCCATGACCGGTGGAAATGCTCGTTTCGGTGCACCTTACAGTATTCCACCCCAAAAACTAGACTAGTGGTTTGCTTAGCACCATCTCACTCTCGTCAAGCAATAGACTTGTAGTAGTACAACTGTATTCCATTGTTACAACATGTTAACTATGTACGTGGGTTCTTTTACATTAGCTAATGACCTGTATGCTGTTTATGCATTTGTTTGTTCCCTCATGTGAAACTATTCTCATTGGTGTCGATCAGTTTCCATTTTCCACGATCGCAGTTAGATTCCACTGTTACAATTGGCCTACATCTTAAGCCAATTGTCTACTGGTAGCTTAATTACGCAGAGAGTATTTATATTGGTAATACATTTGTAGTACGTTTATATTGACAGCAATGCTTTTTGGAAGAAGGAAGTACATTTGTAGTACGTTTATATTGACAGCAATGCTTTTTGGAAGAAGGAAGTACATTTGTAGTACGTTTATATTGGTAAGCCGCTTCACTTGCGTGTTTAGTCAGTGTAGTCGACTTCGAGTTAGTCTAGGTTTGCGAGATGAGATCCATAAGTCGGAAGTAAAATCGTCACAAAAGAAAAATCACTCTCATCATTGATGATCCCATACTCTGATATTTCTTTGATCGCAAACAAAATAAAAATACAGAAAAAATGTTTTCTTGGAAAAAATATAGTGAGATTCTATTACTTGATAGGTACGCAGTAGGAAGAACTGAGAAGTGGAGGCAAGACACATACTAAGTGAGGACCCGATGGATTGCTGCTTACATTTGCTTCTTCTACGTTTGGCAACCCGAGTTGAGGAGGACGGACATAACCCGCAACTAACGGGACACATAGTATCGAGATTACTACTCTTGAACCTGTAGTATTTATTGGAACCAGCCAACAAAATTAAGAACATATCATCATTTGTTGTTTCTTGCACTAAAACAAGTGAGAAGAAGAAAAGATTACTTACCTTGCTCCTCTGAGAGAGAGACATGGCCTCTCTTCCTACCAGCGATCATCCAATTCTCCGAATTTGCATTGACTTCATATAACACCTCATCCTTGTGTAAATAAAACAACAACATTTGATGAACATGCCGATATTTTAAAGTAATATATAGTTTCAATAGATAGGAAGAAGCTATATCGAGTAGCTCGATATGGACATCACTTACATGTTGTTGTTCCACGGCTTCACTTTCTTTGAGATCTTTAAGCCTTTCCACTCTCCACTGCATGGTGATAAGTTTCCCGACCCTAAGCCCATCAGAAGGAAGTGGGAGGAATCCAACTGTGAGGCAAGGATCAAGCACTGGACGCTGTAAAACAATAGCACTCTTGAACACCAAATCTCTCCCTTCAGTATCAGTTCCAGTGTGATCTGCATCCACTGGCTTGTGTGCTCCAGCTGCCCTATCCCCATGGATTCCATATTTGATATTCAGAATGCTCTCTGGTAGCTGCAAATCTTTCCCTTCTGTCGTACAAACAATTAGTTAGTTTGCAGTTAATAAAACCTATTATATTCTCTGTTTCATATGCATTGTATGCTTATAGCCACACATAAAAGGGAATCACCCAAATACTTGCATAATTCGATATAAAGCATCCTGATTGAGAAGGTTCAAAGAAACTAAGATCTGTGCAAACTAGATAAGCCTACAGAAACGAGTTATGGAAGAAATGAACAAGACAAGAGTTCAGGGGTTTGACATGTTCTATTAGGTTGATCTTCCTAAGCCCTTATCGAACTCTCTTCAAATCTATATTAGAATACTTTTTGTTCTGGAATCATAAATAGCTGCAAATGGCGTTATGAGTTTAAGTGTGTTTGACCAAAACTAAGATATAAAGTAAAAATCTGAGTCATATTAACCGTTCTTCAGAAGGATAGGAAAACCTGATGACATAGTCTTGTCTAGACATATACTGAACACGACTGCTGCTCTAGATCCTGGAGACACAACAAGCGGAAAGAACGTTGAAGTCGGTCTTCCATCATTTTGTCCATGAACAAATCCATCTTGAAGATCAAGCCAAGCATCAAGAACTATCAAGTTCGCCTTGACTAGGGAGTGTAGCATAACCTGTAGATAGAAATTACTCATTGATAATCTTGAGTGGACGTGAATAAGATTGAGGGAACAGAGAGGTTAAGGATAATATTGTTAAATTTTAAGGAGCTAAAGTTGGCTACCTGCAAGACCAAAGTGCCATCATTGCATTTGTTTGCCACCCTTGTGGTCACATCAAAAGGGTCGGTAAAATGTGCAGCTATGGTTCTGCTCACATAACAAAATCAGAAGAAAATATGATGAGGAAAAGAACTGTTTGAGTCGGGTCAAACCTCTGATGTGGACAAACGATGATCAAGATTTGCCACAACAAGGAAGAAATACCTCTCAAATATCTGGTTATGATGCACCCCAAATTCAAGTTTCAAAGCTACAGTTCTCATTCCCTCTAAAATATCTTGTTTCAGCGGAGTGACTGTTAACGCAAAAAAAATATGATCATTGGCCAGTGGATGTGACACAAACATGTCATATTAATCAGAAAATCAATGTCTGTTGCAAACCTGAAGATGACCCTCTAGCAAGCTTCTCACTCAATGCACGAACAGGGACCCACAGAATAGAACTCACATTGCTTGCCCAATCTGAGAACACTATTTTACCTTCGCAAAGATTAAGCACCTCTGAATCCCGTTTTGGAGAGACAGGTCTATCTTCTACAAAAACATCAGCTTTTGATGCACCAGCATCACAATCTGTGTCCATGTATCTCTCCATCTCAATGCCATACGAGTCTTCAATCTTTAACCCTGGACCAGTATCAATGTGCAAGATGGCGCCTTTAAGTGAGTAAGCAATAGGACGTACTATGATACCAATCCACTGGGCTTCATTTATTAGCAGCGCAGAAGATACAGCTGCAGCAAGATCAACCAGAGCTCTTGGTTTGGAAACCTAAGAATAAAATGTCTATCGTATCAACAAAGGAAAAAGTGTCCACAAGAGTTTACTCATGTATGTACTCAATGATTTTCTACCGTTCCAAAAGCTGTATTTAATTTCTTAAAATTGGTTTGATTGTTTACCTTTAGGATAGGTCTGGTTGGCTTTTCATAACTCATGAAGTCATCACTATCTGCAGGACCACCCTTCGAAAAGCTGTGAGATCTGAATCTCAAGCGCCCAATCTGGCCAGTAACAACTCCCAAGACATAGGAACCGGGTTTTTGTGGAGGCAAAGCAAAAGTGATAGTATTCCTTCCAGGCTTTAGCACAGTTGCAGCGGAACTCTTTAAAGCCTGAAAGCCAGTCCATATACAAAGTTCTTAAGAACGTGAAATTTGATAAAAGAAAAGAACGAGAAAATTCATGTCTTATGGAGCAAACCTGGCCGCCTTCGTCAGTGTTGTTGGTGGCTACCAAGGTAAGACTAAGCGAATCAAGGGTGATATCATCAGGAAAGCCACTCCACACAGTAACAGATAGATTCCCAGGGTCTCCATCACATAACTGAAGTGGAGGGCCAGTATTTCCAGAAAACGTAATCAATGATGACACATCTAAGGGAACTGGGTTCTTCATTTCACTGTGTGCAAGAGTAACAACCTCGGACTGAAAAGCTTGCCGCTCCTTGGACGAGAATAAACCTTTATCCAACGAAAGTAGTCTAACACAAGATGACATGTACCCCGCTTGATCATTAAGAATCTTTTGACACTCAGCTAAATTAGGCAAGACTTCTGCCAGTAAATCTTGCCATCCTTCACCCGCATAAAGGGCACAAACTTTTTCATAAGAGTTTGCAGCCAAATCATATTTTCCGTGCTTGAAGCAGACAGCTGCAATTTCCCCATCAAGAACGACTCCATGTCTCTTCCACCAAGAACGGTGATAGTTTTCGGCAGCACCTTTGGTTAGATTAAGATATTTATTCTGCCACAACAAAATTTATAAATAAGAAGCTAGAAGAAAGAGCAGCATAAAAATCAGAAGATGTCCTTATGTAAATGGTATTAGCATGCTACCTCAAAATCCTGAATAGATGACAATGTCTTCAACAAATCATGATCTGAAATGGTAAGTCGCAGAGCATGCTCAGCTGCAACAAAAATTTCAGCAAGCCTCATAGGTCTATCTAGGGGACTCTCAAAATTTCCAGGTGAAGAATTTGTTCTCGACATGGGAGGTGCTTGTACTTTAAGTGATGAAGGGGTTCTCGGAGACGCTTCTAAACCTGATCTGTCGAAATATATAAACATATCATTTTAGTTCCTTAAAGAATAACAGAAGGTGATGATTTGCAATACTTCCTGGAAACTTCGAAGAAAAATGAGATTAAGTACTAACACATTTGAAAACAAGAAGGGCTAAAGAACAGGATTTTATAAATTTCATTACCCTTCAGTAAAACTTGGGCGGCCATCAAATATTTCAGGAATATTTCCGGTAGACAGAGAAGCCCTTCTTCTGTTAGCCACACGTAAAAGGACAGATGGTTCAAGAGGTAAAGCTTTCCGTTGAATACCAAAGTGCTTGGTCTTTGTAGTTGCTTGAAGAATAGTCTGTACCAAAACAAGGAGATAAGTATTCTAAAAGAAAAAACAGATGGTAAATATAGTTACGCAGACCTAAATCTCGCATACAATACATTTACAAATAATACCCTGTTATTATGTCAGTGTCCACTAGAGGCCATGCAAGTACAGCTAACTCTTAGCTCGAATCTAAAGCATGATTGGCTTCCATAACAATGCTATCAGATAGATTCACATTCACGCAGCATATTTATATTATACCTTTTCTTTTTCAAGCACCTCAGAGGAAGCGTCTTGTGGAAGAGATGGCCAGACAGCCGGTTTTGGCCAAGGCAGCATACTGAGACAAGCACTGTCCATAAAATGTGTAGGAGTTACTACTAAACATCATCAGCATAGCCTAATCCCAAAGAGAAAGAAAACTCCACATGCTTTTTTCAGCAAATAAAGACTTGATCAGTTTTTTAAAGTGAAACATATACTTCCTCACTAATTGGGTAATCCTTTCTCTACGGGAAGTCATTGGAGAACTAATACTGCTATATAACAAGTAATGCACATGCTATAACAAAAATAGACCCGTACCTGTTCAGTGGACTCTTTTCTATGTCAGTTCCATATCCTATCAGATATCCAAGTCTCATGAACTGCCATGATCAGAAAGGCATTTCAATGGGCATAAGCACTTGAATATAGTATCCAGATTAAATTTATATGCAACCAACAAATCAACTTTTTAAGTGACTGGACATGAAGGATCTAGTAGACATCACATAAGACAATTAGTGAACTATGACATAGACATATGCAATATCAACTCAAAATAAATTATTCAACGGAGAACTCCATTCAAATTCCAGTCAGAAATTGAAAGAGGATGTCAGCAAATGGGAAGAGTAACAGGGGTTTTGTTCATTGTACAAATTTTGAAAGCAAGCAGATTTCTACCTTAACCCGTGAAAGTGAATAGAGATCACCCTGAAGACGGAAGAATTCCTTCTCAATATCAGGTGCAACAACTCCATCATGGTGATGAGAAGCAGTTGCTTCGATCAGCGCTAAACATGCAGTAATTACCCAAACTTCCCGCATACAGAAGGGCAGTACACTCTACAAAAATATCAAAAGAAGAGAGGAAATAAGCTTGGTCAAATCAATAAATCAAAAGTAAGATAATAAGCGTTTCTTTAGTAACAGTATAGGCTACCTCATGGAGGGTCAAGGCCTTTGCAAAACTAATAACAAAAGAATAGCCCCTAGATGCAACTTCAAAAGGACGATTCAACTTGAACAACAGCTGCAAAGAACCACATAGAGGTAAGCTAATGAAAAGGTTGTTAAAGCAAAGCTACAGTTTAGAATGGAGAAAAGGACACTGTGATCAATATGATGGCTCTTGTGTGCACCAACCCTAGATTGACAGGCAAAGAGATACTGCCTAAACTCGAATTCTCTAAAAGAATCATCTTGCACAATCTGTGTCAATGGTTTGCTTCCTGGTTTCAGCAGCACAGCTTGGTCATCTTCACTGTCGAATCCTCCAAAATCCCTCTGTTTCCCAGGCATATTAACTGCATTGAAGGTAATGCATGATCGCTTATTTTTCAGAAAAAATCTTGAAAAAAGAAATCAGTTTGTTGGATGACTACTGATCCCAAATGCTTTTAGAGATAAAGATATATGTCAGGTTTCTCAAAACCTAAGAATATAAAATATACCAAACAGACAAAACATGGAGCTTTTATTGCCACGGGTCTGCAAGAAAGAGATACAGAGGTAGGAAAAGAACCTGTTTCCAAATAACAGAGCTCTAGTTCATCATATTCACGTAATGCATCTTCATGAAGATGAGCCATCTCAAATATGAAAGCCAAACTTTCCTGAGATAGCATAGAACATTATGACCTTTAAGAAAATGAGAAAAGTTTCATCAAATGTGACTGCAAGGACCAAAGGTGATTTCTAAGCTTAACAGATGGGGATTCTTTTCATACTTCTATGGAAGCAACAAAAGGAGCACATAAATCTCCATCAAAGAGTTTATTACAACAGTATAAAATCTAATTTAAAAAAGGAAGAAACAGGATTATGAACCATTTTATTCATCTGCATAGAAGCCACATTCACTTTCCTTTCGGAAATTGAGAAGAGAGCTAACCTTCAGGATAAAAAAGTTACAAAAGTTCCATATTGGCATAAACCGCTGCTCACTGAGCTTGCGTATCTCATCCTCGTAGAATTGGGCACGCCTATCCAAGGTATTCCTGATGCACTCGGTAATCTTTAATTCCAGATCCTCCCAAAAATTTCCGTCAGGGCCATGTACATCCAGCTTACAGCACCTTAAAAGCATTGCAAAAATTATCAAATGAAGACTATGTATGGCATGCATAAATTAAGTAAAACTGATCAAGTAAATAAAAAGGTGTTGTAGCGTTTTTCATAAGTAAATAACTTACAGATAACTTCCTTTAAATGAGTGATTTATGCATCAAGCAAAAATATAAGTAATTGAAATCGTGCAACTGTTTAACCTAATCTATTTTTATTAGAACTGTGGTAGGAGCAATTAAGTGTCGTTAGGCATCTGGCGTGGTGTTTTTATTTATTCTTGCCTACTTGTATCAAAGCAAAAAAAAAACATAAAACACAGTCCAATCTGCATTGCTGACCTTTCTCTCTTTTTTGAACTGAAGTCAACTTCAAGCTTCGCATATACTTTCTTGACAGATTTAGTTGCTTGATCATTACTTGGATGAGCTTTAGATACAAATACAATAAACCATTCCCTCTCATCATTCTGAACAATTAATTTCAGACGTGGTTTGAGAATGTTTTTAAACTCATCAAGATCCTGCAAGGTCAAAGGTATACTCAGAAAAGCTAGAAGAACAAAAATTGTCGAACCACATAAGTGATAAATCTAACCTAATCCAGAAACAATATACATTAGAAACGGTGCCTACTATCTAGACATTGGTTCTTGTCTCTTATAGCAAAGGAAAATAGAAACATATATCATCAAGCACATCATCTTTGTTTCATATTTTGGCAAGTGACTACTCTCCACTGCCAAGAATGACACAGAGAAACGAAAACAAAAAACAAGATATCAACAAGACAAGTACCTCACATGTGACAAGAACAATAGTTGCATATGGTTCTCGAAACCAGAACAAATATTGCTCCTGCGGGAATCGACTACGAAGTCTCGCGTCTGTAGTTAATATGAATTCAACCGGCAAGTTCTCAACAAAAACCGGATTTCGAGTCTTGTTTGTCAAGAATGCTCTTTTTAATGGCTGATGTTCTTCAAATAAACCTTTCACTGTAGGCCACAGATCACACACATCTTCCACTGTAACAGGGAACAAAAAGAAAGAGAATACATCTTAATACTAACGAACAAGTATAGTTAAAAGGTCAGAAACAAAGAAATCCTCATGATCAGTTCTCTCACTTTCCAATTTCAGAGAAATTCAGGAATTGATGCTCATTTCTAAGCACTTTTAGCTTCATTCATGAGTATAATCTGACCAACCAACAACCTAACAAATTCATATCACCTCCTTCAACTACAAAGAGAAACTTTCCACTAATATCTAACTATGACATCGCAAAAATGTGGCAAAAAAAAAGAGGAGAAGTAAGATCCTAATAGAATGCAGCAATCGTAGAGAAACAAAAACCCTAGAAAATTATAGATTTGAAAAAAAATTGGGGAGAAATTTACCGGCGGTGACGAGACGATCGCAGGAATTTTTAATCGACTGGAACTGAGCCAAGTAGTTCGCCATCTGAGTCACCGATCTAAACGAAACATACGAAAACCTCGATCGATAGATACAGAGAGATCAGAATTTGAGTGAGGTTTCGTCTTCAAGCTGCAGGAAGAAGGAAGTGGAGGAAATCACCGACGCCGGAGATCTAGTGAATCGCCTTCTTCAACTATCGCGCTCAGATTTAATCCTGACCGTTGGATCACTCATGTCTATTAACTACATCTATGTTGGATTGCTTGTCGTTTTTAGGTAAAATTAACGGCATGTAGTCTACTGTTTAAAAAACAAAAACAAATATTAAAGAATTGGAGAAAACACGCTTCTTTCTTCTCCGTTAAGAGAAACCTCTCTCACTCTTCATTTCATTCACTTTCCGACGAACAAAAACAACATCTGAAAAAAATCATGAATCCAGATTCCGATCATCCTCAGCTTCCAAACATCAAGATCCATCACCCTCCTTCTCCACGTCACTCTCACCACCACCACTCCTCTTCCACTCCCTCCTCCGCCGCAACTCCAACTCCAACTGCCGGAGCTCGTCGTAAAATCGGAGTCGCCGTTGATCTCTCTGAAGAAAGTTCTTTCGCTGTCCGTTGGGCTGTAGATCACTACATCCGTCCCGGAGACGCCGTTGTTCTTCTCCATGTTTCTCCAACCTCCGTCCTCTTCGGTGCCGATTGGGGACCTCTCCCTCTGAAAACTCAACCTTCTGTTGAAGATCCAAACGCTCAATCTCAGCCTAGTCAAGAAGATTTTGATGCTTTTACTTCAACAAAAGTTGCGGATCTAGCTAAGCCGTTGAAGGAATTAGGGTTTCCTTATAAGATCCATATAGTGAAAGATCATGATATGAGGGAGAGATTATGTCTTGAGATTGAGAGGCTTGGTCTTAGTGCTGTGATTATGGGAAGTAGAGGTTTTGGTGCTGAGAAAAGAGGAAGTGATGGCAAGCTTGGCTCTGTTAGTGATTACTGTGTTCATCACTGTGTTTGTCCCGTTGTTGTGGTTAGATATCCTGATGATCGTGATGGACCTGTTCCTGTTGTTACTGTCAAGTCTGGTGGAGATGATGATGAAGATGTTGTTGCTGCTTCTGCTTCTGCTCATCATGAACACATCAAAGGTCAGGGCTCAATTATCTCTATCTCTATGTGATTCAGTGATTGATTGATGAGCTTCTTTCGTAGTTTTTTTTTTCATGGATGTCTCTGTTGATGTGTTAGATTTAGATTCAGTAGTGTAGTGAGTGTTGTGAATATGTTGATAAATATTGCCATAGATGGTAGTACAGGAAAATTATAGCTGAACTAAGATGATTTTGTCGATTTAGTGAGAAATATTGTCCATGTTCATTGCTTTGCTTACCCGAAAGTAGAGGATGATGGTCATGTACATAGATGATTTCCTAGCTTTAGTGTATTCATTCTATGAATTTGTATATATCTTCTTCATCTGCCGAAACTGTTTCGATTTACTGAAGTTAGTTGTATAGTATATATCATATTGTTTGGTGGTTATGGCTAATTTGCTGTATTATATGTAGAAGATTGTTGTTCCCCTACACGTGGGAAAAAGAAGCGCCGACATCGTTCTATTTCTTGCATTGTTTACACTACCCATTGATTGTGTTTAGATTAAAAGTAGTCTAGCACCTACTACTAGTCCAGAAGAAAGTTTCTTTTGACCCTTGAAGAATGAACTTTTCTAAGTGAGTTTGTTTGATTTTATTTTTCTCTGTTGGTTTAGTTTGAGGCAACATTAAGTATCGTTAGCATCCAAGTATTATGATTCTTGACTTTTAAGCTTCTATAAGCCCTCATTTCGTAAATTGGTGAATGTATCCTTGTTGTTGTTTGAAAATCAAATAGTGCAGTATTTCTAAAAAGGAAGCTTCAATGATATTTTTTGTTGTTGTTTGCTTTGATCCAGACTAGGAAAGGTTACAATAGCAGGGATGTTAACAGAGAAAAATCTAGGAATGCATGGGAATGTGTAGAAAGAATCTGGTTGTGTAACATGCGAAAAAAGTTTATCTAAACTCTTGAGTAATGTTTAGATATCAAATATAATTGAGAGTTGCATTACCTTGTTACTTTTACGATAGAAAAGTTCTGATGAAAACTTGTCAAATAAAGTTACTGAGTTTCGTAGATTGCTTCTTCAGTAAGATAATCACTGGTGTTAGTTCTAGAACGTTTGGCATACGTTACAAGATTGGAGCTGCCTAGTGAATCTGTCAAAAGATTCTGATTGTATACTGATAAGGTAAAAAGGCTATATAATCTGAAGGTTACATTTGTTATCTTCACCATACTGCATCACGACTAGCAATGTATAATCTGCATGGTTTATTAAGTGATTCCTCTCTGTGTATCTTCAAACATTGAAATATGTTGTGATTAAAGGGTTATTCCAGTAAATTTATCTATGATCTGACCAAATGACAATGTCTTATTCCTTTTTTGTTCCTGTGTTTCTACCACAGATGAGTGATGATTCTTGGGATCTCGTCAGGTTCACCCTCTTCGCATCATCTAGGTAATATAAAAGTCACATAATGATCTCTGTAAGCTTATATTGTCTACATTTATCTTGATTATTGTTCTTTCATGTGTTTGGAACTGAAAAGGTACACAAATCAAGTAGCGGTGTTAGAGGAATGTTCAGAGGAGTGTTTGAGTGTGTGGTCTATCTTCAGTCACAATGTTGATGAATTTCTTTGGGTTATGTAATGGTTTCTGCATTAAACATGAAGGAGTTTGTATGATTACTGAATCCCTTTTAAGGAAGAAGAAGGATTATGATTTTCTTTAATAAAGACGGGTAGTGTAGGTTTGTTCTATTGTGTGAGTGTGTGAATCTTGAGTCTGTTTAGATTTTAGTTAATGTGAAAATCAAATAAAGATTTGGTTGATTTATGGTTTTGATTTGACTTGTTGGAATTTTGATTAATCTAAGGATTGAAGTTTTGAAAGATGGGTGTCTCCAAAAGAAACAAAAATGTTTGGTAATTCGTAAAACTTGTTTGGTTATTAGGTCTAATTTCTTTTGCAAATTTAGAGTAGATGACTATAATATCGGATTATACATCTGTTCAAGCGGCGGACATGTACAAGTAATGCCTTTTATAACAAAAAAAAACTTTGGATACAGAATGTCTAATCAGAAACAAGGTGTGAATATAGAACAAACCATATGGCAAATATAGTTTACACGGATGTATAGATCTCAAATACAACACTAAATTCACAAACAATCTAATTTGATATGGTAAACAAATTCAAGTGTGAGAGGTAAGGATCAAACAATGTACATCAAATCTCTCCCTTCAGTTCTCAGTAGCCCTATTTGATTAGTCGTAATGCTCTTTGGTACAAATCTAGATCAAACCATATGGCAAATATAGTTTATATAGACGTACTAGATTTTAACCCGCGGTGTACCGCGGGGCTATATTTTCTTAAAAAAAATCAAAATGTAATTTGTTTGATAGATTATTTTGATTGTTAATTTTAGGATTTCACCCGTGGTATACGATCTTTTATAAATATCAACCCAAACCCGTCCCATCATATTACCCGTCCCGTGAAATTAAACATTATTTAGTTATTTTTCTTTTTAATAATACTTTTATTTAAAAGCTATATAATTCAAGTCAATTTAAAAATTTCTTTTAAATGGTTCCCATAAGATATATATACATATATATTAAATTTGTATAGAGTTGAAATAATATTAATATTACAAATTTTTTATATAATTTAAATATTATAAATATTTTTAAAAATATGTAATATATATTTTTTGTTATTGAATAAGAGGATATTATGTGTAAGAAATGTAGAAAATAAGAGTTTAATATTTTTATTATGGAGTCGCAAAAAAAATCTTTTATTTCTATACATGTTATTCATTTATTAATAATAAAAGAAAACAAATCCTTTAAATTAGATATTAACTAAAATAAACGCACCATAATTACTTATTAAGTAACAACCAATAAATTTCACCAAAAAATAGGTAACAACCAATAAATTCTAAACGCAGTAATTAAAGAATGAGATATTAAAAAAAAAATATCAAATAAGATATAAGAATCTTAAAATAATTGAACATCTAAATAATTTAATTGTTAGTGTCGATTTTAATGCCTTCATTAATGTGGATTTTTTTTTTTACAGAGAAATATTTCCTAAAGATTATCACATTAATGACTCAGAAAATTAAGGAAGATATGAATTTATGATTCTCGAAATCGTATTGGTAATATCTTTAAGTAATATTTTTCAAATTTAAATAATTAATGTCAATGGCATTCATCCGTAAATAAGGTCCAACTCCAGGATTTATTTGCTAAAAGTCATTCAAAAATGTATATATAGATAGATCTCACATACAACACTAAATTCACAAACAATCTAACTTGATCTAGTAAACAAATTCAACTGTGAGAGGCAGGAATCAAACAATGGACATCAAATCTCTCCCAATAGCCCTATTTCATTAATCGTAATGCTCTTTGGTCTAAATCTAGATTCTTGGAAATGAAAGTCTAAATGGCCAAACAACATAATGTTCTTATGAGTATATAGTTTATGCTCATACACAAGCAAGAACAATCGACTTCCACATTGCAAAAACTATACAGTCAGATAAATGTCACACTACTCTCTATATACTTAAGCTATCAAATTTGTTAGAGCAAATTCAAGAAAATATATTTCATCACTTTGTGCCAATTAAAAGATATAGGATATGATGAAAAAAAAAAAAGATATAGGATATATATATATTTTTTAAGTAGTGTAAAAACTTTTGTTTTGTATTTTAATGGCTCCACTGTATTTGTCTTGCCCCATTTTTAAAGCTTGTTCAATCTCGTGATTATCTTGAATCTTCATCAACTTTCTTTCTTTACTTGTAGGAGTACTTGTTTCTCCAATCTTCAGATTCATGAACTCTTTCTTCAGATCCGACAACTCTTTGAATGGATGCTTGACTTTATCGTAGAGATTACGGATGTAGTGACACTTACTTGTCTCCACAATGAAACGATGACCAAGAACTTCAAAGCCTCATTCTTTGGTGAGAACCTCCGGTTTCACCACCAACTTCAGCTCATACTGTAGGTGGTTTGCAACTCCTTGAGTTCCAACTTTCACTTGATTCTTCCACTCAAAAACCTTAGTCTTTCTCATCTCTTTCATCACACTTGAAAGAAAAACAATGAAAACAGATCTCATTTTCGTTTGAAGAGAGAAGAAGAAGAAGAGTGAGTGATGAGGAGAGAAGCAGATGAAGAGTGTTATATATACACCATTCATGAACTTGAGCTTCAAGTTTGATATAAAGCATTGTATTCATCGTTTCAAAATTGAAGACCAAGCTCACAATGACTCAATCGTACCAGATTTGAACAAGAGGCTAATGATGATGGGTATAAGATTTGAATTACAAACTGCTCATTCCCAAGATGTTCAATGTTTGTTTTACAGAGAAAGAGCACAAAGAAGAATGACGCAGACCACTTTAATTTTCTGATTTTTTTCCTCTCAAGCGTTTTTGCGGTTTATTCTAACCGATTTGATTATCTTGATTGGGTTTTACTTGAGTAATTGATTATACGGGATGCTTATTAATGCCGAATGTAAAGCCTAATTTTATTTCATCTTTCTTTTCATATTTTAAAACATTTTTCAAAAGAATGGATTGAAATTTTAGTGGATTTAAATCCATATAATACAAAGTATAAGTTTGTAATAATCCGTAAAATTAGTATAGTCACATATACTATATGACTTAGCTTATTTTTCCTTCTCTTATGGTCTCTACCTAAACGAAAATTTAACAAATCTAAACTTATATATATATACTATATTTTAATCCGCGGTACATCGCATGATAATTTATTTTAAGTTGTTGTTGAAACATATATTAAAACAACTTCTTTTCACCATTGAATGTAAGATGATCCCAATATATAAGGTTATGTTTCCACCGGCTATACTTTATTGACAACAAAACACTGAAATAATATTTTTTCTAATAAACGAAATCCAACTTACTAATATTCCCTACTCGATGTGATCAAATTAATATAATGACTCTTTGATACTATAACAAGTGTCTACACAGATCAACTGGTTAACTTATGGTCGTTTTTAATATGCTCTGTTTTGTCATTTAATCGTCATTTTAAGTAAGTCCTAAAAAACAAAAAGCCCCACATAAACTCAGATTGGACATAATAATTAATGAGAATATCCGAACATCTCCAACAGTAATGTATGGAGGAATGTCTTAAGATTAAAAAAAATAGAAAATAATATAAAGTAGGAGAGAGTGTAGACACAGTTTCTGGTTTGAGAAACTTTGAAAAACTGTGTCTACACTTGTCTTTTTATTATTGGCCAAATTCTTTTTTTTATAATTTATAATTTAAATAAATAACTTATTTATTATAAATTAATTAAAATAGTATTTTTGAAACATCCACACAGTGTCTGATGGATGGAGATGTTGTAAGTAGCGAGTACCTTGTCCACATTAAGTATGAACAACGATACTTAAATATAACCACATTAAGTGATATGCATCATTCCATCTATTGACTGTTTTTTAGTTGGAAACATATATATACAATCACATGCATGATGATATATACTGATCCAAACTGAGAATCCATCCTAGATGAAGTTCATATCATTTTGAAGGAACATGCCAATAACCTCACATTCGAAAGTGAGACATTATTATCTCTAATTATTTTATTCATATCCACAAGTATTTATCCAAGTGTAAACCTTAAAATCAAAATTATTATCTCTAATTATTTTATTCATATAATAACTAGCTTCAAAAATTAATCTCCACACTATTTTAGATTTTAGTATTTTGAAGCCGGCTTAAATGAACGGTCTTTGAAAAGAGATGCAATGAGAACCACATGCTTCAATTAATTCATTAAAACCTTGGATCTTGCATAGTTGCATCATATTTTTTTTGTTTTTTTTTGGAGCTTATTAAACACAGTTTAGAGACAGACACGATGGTTTCAACGCGTTTGACGAATAAAATAAAACTTTAAAAGGAGGACCCAATGGAATTTAATATCTTCTTTTTAGTGGTCGCAGTTACAAAACTAACGACATTCATACGTTATGTACTCTTTAGTTGTTGCTGCCAATTAAATAATATCTCAGATTGGCATAATTATAAAATTTTGGTTTTGGTTGGTGATCTTTCAAACGTTATAATAATATCTCATGTTTCACTAATTTAAAAAATTGCTTCATTTTTCTTTCTTTGTTATATGATTTTATACTACATGTATGAATATATTTTATAGGTAACAAAATAGCTTAAACAAAAAATAAATCAACATAATAATAATACAAAGCTTCAACAGCTACGAAAAAGCTTCAATACGAATATATATTAAAATGTCTTAAAACTAACTCAACCCACTAAAAAGTATTGTTAGTAATGAACGGTGAGGATTAATCTATCAACCAACGAAAGAATCATCAACGGCTAAAAATCTCTACTTTTATTGGCGATTTCAATAAAATGAAGACGACGATGATGTATCACATCCCTCTGATTTTCTCCTCCCTCCTTGTAATTTCACGACTGAGTTCATCACAACCGTTGATCTTGACAAAGCTTCGTCTCTCGATAATCTTTTCAACGGACGAGATTCGTTCTCCTCCTGCATTTCAATAAAATTAAAACAATAAATTTCACGATCATTCCTAAAAAAAATAAAGAAGATAAAGAAAAAGATTCATACATCGGAGAGGTTAAGATCCAAATCAAGTCTCGTCCTTTTCACCACCAGATCTCCGTCGCCGGTACTAACAGAAGACGACGAACTCACCACCGGAAGTTCTTCCGCTACCGCCGCCGGCACAACCTGATTCTCCACTTCTTCCTCATCGCTTTCCTCATCATAAGATTCAGCATCATCATCTTCTCTACTAATGATCTCTACTTGGTTCAGATTCTGATTCTTTCCGGCGACGGAGCTGTGATTCTTCTTACGAGCTAAACAAGACTCACAGATAGAAACAGTTGGGCCAAGACGAAGCCCAGAAGCTTTCCAAGACGTGTGTGACTGACACGCGCTACAAAGAAGACAACGCGTGTGTTTCGCCACCAGAAAATTAGCTCCGTGAACTTTACCGTCACAATCCCAACATAAACTCGCTTGATCTGACTCACAATACATTCTCGCTACTCCACAACATAACTCGCACTTCTTCTTCCCCATTGATCTTATCTCCACAACCACAACCTCTCTCTCTCTCTCTCTCTCTCGATGTTTGTGTTATAAATATTCTTGGTAAGGACTTTGCTTCTCTCTCTCTTCTCTCGTTTCTTCTGCGGACACAAATAAGAGACAGCGAAATAGCGAATTGTGTTATGAGAATTTCGTGGCGAGTTTTATGTGATTTAATTCTTTTCAAGGGTATTGTCGTCTTTTACTTTTCACGAAACGATTTTTCACGTATTTTTTTAATGAAATGCAAGAAGTTTCTAATTTTAAATTTAGGATAAGATTAAAGGATTCGTTCAAACTTTAAATTTCATGGTTGATAATTTGTGGATAAATTATTGTACTAGTAGTTCTAAATTTGTTTTTAAAAATTATTAAGGTTTCTGCGGCTGAGTATTATTCTCGAATTCTTAAATTTAGGAGAGATAATAATATGATTTAAAAAAGCAAATGTTTTTATTTACTTGGTCCTGAAACCATGTACTGGGGACAAGGCTCCCCTATGGGCGAAGTCTTTCTTACGTGTCGAGATATGATTCGTTTTGATGTTTCAGCAGATATTTTATGCGGTTATATTTTTTAGTTAATGACGTGGCCTCGTAAAGAGGAAAGGGAGATTCGGAGTTATCCTACGTGGACGAATCAGGTTCTGTAATAGACTTAGAGCCACGTGATCCCCACCTGGGATTTGTCTGGTCCTCAATACACGTCTAATGGGGTCCACTTCTTCTTTTCTTTTCTTTTTCTTGTTTTTTTTACTTTTTCATCTCTCGTTCCGGTCCAAGCATTTTGTGTGAATAAGGTTTTCGATTTGTTTTTGAAATGAATAGTGAATTTAATATCGTTGCTGTTACGGTATGATAATAATGATGATATCAGATTTTAATATGCATTTTGGGTTGGGAAGTTTTGGTGTCCATGAAATCAACCAGCTGGTTGCTAGAAGAAGAACCTAATTTTATCAACCACTTTTAGTGTTCCATATATTTACATAATCCAAATTAAATGTTTTTTTTTCTCTAAATCAAAATCAAATCCAACCACTAATTTTACTTCATATCATTGGCAAACTCGATATATTACTTGTCATTTGCTAATGGTAAAAAAAATGTGTAATTGGGAAATTATTAAATCTGGATTATAAAAAGAGAGAGAGAGAGAGGGGCATGTTTATGAATTTCTCGGCCAGGTTCATTTGCCATTAATTAACCAATTTGGTTTTAAAAATTACTAAAAACCAGGATAGATCATGACCCAAGAAGCTTGTAGCTAGATAGACAAATATTTTTGTCATTGAAAATGTTTACTGTTGTGAGTTGTCGACAAAAAATCGTTTTGATTTTCTGTAGATGATAGAGTTTGATCTGTAGTTTTGATGCAGAGAACAAATTAAATTATCTTGATCAAAGAAGACCACTAAATCACATGTTCTTGGTTAATCGATTTATCTAAAAACAATTTGAGAGAAACTAATTTCCATAAAATCTATGCACCCTTGTTAGATATAGATCCACTAAACTAGATGTTTGATAAAAAGAAATAACAAGGCACCAACTTAAATGAATGATAAGTTAGAACTTTGAACTTAGCACATAGATGAATGGTTAAATATCCAAGTGTTGGTATGTTAACTGATTCGAATGATGCCGATTTAGCACTTTCAGACTCCGATATGATTTTAATTCGAACGAAGTTATTTATGTTTTTTTTTTTTGAAACTATCAAGAACTTTATATACGAAAAGTATAATTCCTAATCTAATTTATTTGTGGACCGAAGTATCACAAAATATGAAAATATGTCAGTGTTGTGGTCTTGTGGATGTAACGTGTTCGGAATAACGTCTAATCACGAAATTAAGATTAAGACTAGAAAAAGATAGATGTAAAGTCATTTTATGAAAACAAATAATACGTAAAATGTATATAAGAACAAAAAAAGAAAGTAAAGTTGGGCCTACGTAACATGCTTGAGAAATTTTTACGTGGCGAAGATTAGTGGTGTGAAGGATGAAGTGTGAATTGTGAAGAATCAAAGGAACACGAGATGTCTTCATTTGAGAGCCACATGCATTAAAAGGCGATGATGAGTGGAGCCGTGGAGGTGTTTTGAGTTTCAGGGTTTTTCTTTTTTTTTTTTGTTACTTTTAAATGTGTGTGGATGACAACTTTAGAACAATTTAGAAGAAGCCTCGAATTCCATACACAAAATATCTCACGAATTTCTCCTTATTTTCCTTGTTTCTTTTTCCATTTATGTTTTCTTTTCCAAGTTTTTAAGAGAGATGTAAATTACAATAAAAAATTGTTCAGTGAGTGATCATATAATTTATATCAAATTAATTATATGATTTTCTTATATATACACTAAGATTTGTTTATTTTTATCTGTCAAACTGGTCAAACAAATAACACAATGAATATCCAAGATCTCAGATACTACAAGATAAAAGTATTACAACATCAACTTTGTAGCGTACGAAAATAACTTTAGTTAATTAGAGTTACTTAACATCAATTATACGATTTGATAAGTACCAAACTACCAACAAATTATATGACATTGCACATCATCATTGTCCAGCGGAGAAGAAATATTGAATTTGTTAAAAAAAAAATACAAATTCTTCGAAGTAAACTAATTTGGGCTTTTGTAACTTCAAAGCCCTCAAGTTAAAAATAAAACTATGGTAGCAATTAATTAGCAACGTAAGAAAAAGCTGAGACAGTTGAAAAGAAATCGCCAAACCTATTGTTCTATGGTAGATCTGATTGTAGCATCTATGAAATTTAATTTTCTGATTCTATCATTAGCTCTTAATATCAATTATATAACGTGCCCCCAAACATTAATTATACATGTAACCTATTGTTCTAACTTCTTATTTACGGTGAGATTTTTTCCATTTAGCTACAAATTTCCTTTTCTAAAAATTATTTATTAACGTTAAAAAAAAAAAAGGGGAAATCAAAACACCGTTTAACTTCAGCGTCGCTCTACAAAATAAATCAAAATTGCTTATAAATTAGGGTTCATCATTGACTCATACTTCTGCCAAAATAGGGTTTTACTTTTAAGTGATGTCGTCAAAAGGTACAAAAACTCAATCAATCCACGAATGATCGTTTGTTAAAGCGAGGAAATCAAATTAGGGTTTATCCGATTTCGAGAGATTCAAAAGGTTTAATGGGAATCGTTGCTTCCAAGGGAGATAGTAACACTCCATTGTTGAATCTGTGTAAGGAGAGGAAAGAATTGATCAGAGCAGCTAGAGATGGTCGTTATCACTTAGCGAGATCTCATCTTCTTTACTTTAAATCTCTTTTAGATTTTAGCAAAGCTCTTAATCAGTTTGTTCATAAGGATTTGGTTGTGATTCCGTATTCGGATGATGATTCGTCTAGTAGTGATATAATTTGTTCTGGATCAGATTCAGACTCGGATACGGATTCTGATTCGGGTTCAGATTCTGATTGTTTAGTCTGTGATCAATCTCAAACAGCTCCGTTGAGCAACAATGAGGATCAGAATCCTCGAAACCCTGAGTTTGGAGATGGAACTTGCGGTTCAAGTAACAATGGTCAAGAGGGTATGGAGAAGTCAAGAGAAGATTTAGGGTTTGAGTGGAAACAGTTCGTTAGTGATCCAAGTGAAGAAGAGGTGAAAGGTTCGCAAAACGTTTCTTCTGTTGAACAGAAGACTTTCGCGAATGGTGATATACTCGGTTTGTACGGTCCCGTGTATAACACGCAGCAGTGCGAATTTATCAAACCTGATCAAAGAGATGATGAGGTTGAGAGTGATGGATTTAGAGAAGTTAGGGAGAGAGAAGGGATTCCTGATTTGGAACCTGAAAGTGATCATAATAGTCTTATAAGAAAGAACCAAAAGAAGACAAAGAAGAAGAAGAAGGTTGCAAGTGAAATTGATAAGCAAGATGTTGAAGCAAACACTTGTAATGGAGATGTTGCAGATGAGACTGATAATTCTAGTGGAGCTTGCGAGCGAGAGACAGCAAAAACTCCAGAGATTGTTACTGAAGAAGTGACAAGATCAGATGAGGAAGTTGAAGAAGAGACAAGATCAGATGAGGAAGTTTCTGATGAAGCGTATGAGTCTTCTTCTTCTTGTTTTTCGGAATCTTCTGGTTCGGGTTTGACTGATCTAAGGAATGTTGTAGAAAGGATCACTCGTATATGCGAGAAAGCTGTGGGTGATAGTGAAGTCTCTGAGTTGCTTGAAGTAAGCAGAGTTGTTCATCATCAACCTTTAGGATCTCAATTCAAGGGATTTGCTTCAAGGGTACTTGGTGGTACCGGGAATTCGACTCGTGATTTGATTTTAAAGCGCCGTTTTCGCTTAGATGATGTTGCTGTTTCACTCTCTATGACATTAGAGAAGCTTTATATGTGGGAAAAGAAGCTTCACGCAGAAGTTACAGTAGAAGAAAAGCTTAGGGTTTCTTATGATAAAGCGTACAAGATTCTGAACAATCTTGATCAAACCGGAGCAGAATCGAGCGAGATTTACGAGGCGGAAACTGTGGTTAAACTCTATTTATCTAAGATTAATGTTTCGGTTCGAGCGGTTGAATCGATTTCCATGAGAATTCATAAGATAAGAGACGAAGAGCTTTCGTTTCAGGTGATTGAGATCATAAACGGATTCAAAAGAATGTGGAGATTCTTGGCGAAATGTCACCATAAGCAGTTTCGAGTGATTGCGAGAAGCAAGTCTTGTGTTCACATTGTTGAAAATGGATCTAGCTCGAGGAAAGCTACGCAGCAAGTCGAAAAACAGATTAGAAGATACAGAGAATCTTTGAAAGGTTACATTGATTCTCAGAGAGGTTTCGTTAAGCTCTTAAACGAATGGCTTAGCCGAAACATCATGGAGGATGATGAAACCGAGATCGAGGCTCCTGAGATATTTAGGGTTTGCAGCGAGTGGTTAAGAGAGATTGAGAATGTGGATGAGATTAAAGTGTTGAGTGCTGTTGAAGAAATGAGATTAAGATTTCGAGGGTTAGGGTTTAAGCAAGTAGAGGAAGAGAAACAGAGGTTGAGAACAGAGAGATTGTCTAAGGAGTTAGAGAAGAAGACGAAGGAGTTGGAGGAGATCCGGGGAACGGCGCATGGTTCTGGTCCGACGGCGAATATGATGGTGGGACCTGAGTTGTTGTTTTTGAGAGAGAGTGTGACGCAAGAAACAGAAAAGCATGAGAGAATGATAAGAGAGCTAAACGACGCCGTATCGATGAGTATGCAAGAGTGTTTGGTTCCTGTCTTTGAGGCTTTGGAGGATTTTTGTTTTGCTAATTTTAAAGCATATCAGAACATTAGCATCGTTTCCACAGAAACTCTATTATTGTGTCAATCATAGAAATAATCAAATAAATATGTAAAGAATTTCATATGTTGATAATTTAATCAGATTTCGTATTGTATAATATCATTCATATATTTGACTTTGAATGTTCTTCATATTTGTTTGTCCAAAAAAAAAAAAAAAAAGAATGTTCTTCATATTTTGGCGAAATTATCGAACTATAAGAGTTTAATGCTTCATTGCTTGCATCTGTAAGTTTTATTCTGGTTATTGATCATGAACCCGTTTTTGGTATATGACAAGTCATGGTTTGTTATTGTTTGAAATATATTGGAATTTCAAATATATGTTCGATTGGTCCCGAAAGATCTGATCAAAAGTTTTATTGTTTGATTTGAATCTTGATTTAGGTAGAGATAATTAATTTTAATCGATGAAGTAATTGACCAAGTCAATAAATCAAGATTCAATGTTCTTTCTACGAACCCGGTTCGTTTTGCGGTTGAGATTCATGCATTCATTTTATTTATAACCATTATGGATAATGATAGTGATTAATTATCCAATAAGGAAGAGATTTGGTTGGATTATTTTGGAGGGTAATAATAAAAATATAAAGGCATGCAATAGAAGAGGCAGACCAAGTGGAATATTCTGTCTACCACAAACGAAGTTTCAATAAAGATTGTTACATGTTAATGTTTTCCAATAAGCGACCAAAAATCTGGATTAATAATTTATTATCGCACCCAAAAGTCACTATAAACTTGTGAACTTGTTATTTTGGAGACTTTTCTCACCTAACTACATCGAGGAAAAATAACTTATATACTCTCTCAATTGCCTTAGTTGGTTAACATTATGCTCTAAGAGCATGGACAGTAGGACAAGCAGGTGGGTATAAATTTTGGGGTGCAGGTATTAAAAAAATGAAAAAATTGTCTCTCTCTTCACACCCGAGTGTAAGTTTACACTCGAATGTAACACTTTTTATCTCTATCTCTCTCTTTCTTTCTCTTTCTCTTTTCTCTTTTGCTTTAAATTATAATACTAAAAAAATACTTACACCCACACAAACACATTTGCCACTGCTGATGGTCTAATGGCTTTGGTGGCTATTGACGATTATAAAATGAATATTTTCCCAATTTTGTTGTTTCAATACTAACAAAATAGAAAATCAAAACCATATAACTCTAATGTTTCCCACATGAAATTCCACACACACGCAATGAAAACCATACCGACCAAATCTTTATGTGTGTTTTAAGTGTGATTCAAAACTCAAAATATATAACATTTTAAAGAACTTTCCTCAATCAATGGAATCTAAAGTCATTTGCCTAAGAAAGTCAACGAAACTTCACATTCAAAGTAACTTTATCCTCCCGTGGGAACAATCACATTCATCCATAATGAAAAAAAGACATTTTCTTATACCCTTACGTGAGCTTCCAAGAAGAAACCAAAATTTTTAAAGATTTTTCCCCATTACATGTAGATTAGTTGGCTTCAAGTTTCCATGGATGTTCCTTCTCGGAAATCTCAAATTCTCTTCCTTTTTATATAAAACTCAATCACAACACAAAACCCATCGCTCAAAACAATCAGTTTCTCTCTTTCAATTCTAATGGCGTCGCCTAAATCCCCAACAAGACCAAACCAAGAAAATCAAGAACCCAAGTTCCAAGATTTCTTCCCAACAATGGCCGGTAAACTCGGTGGAGAAGGTCTAATCGAAGAGCTTTGCAAAGGGTTCGAGCTTCTCATGGATAAAGACAAAGGAGTAATCACATTCGAGAGCTTACGAAGAAACGCATCGACGGTTCTTGGACTTGGAGATCTAACGGACGACGATGTTCGATGCATGATCAACGAAGGAGATTGTGATCGAGATGGTGCGTTGAATCAGATGGAGTTTTGTGTGCTCATGTTTAGACTAAGTCCTGAACTTATGGAAGCGTCACGGTGTGTTGTGACGGAGGTGATCGAGGAAGAGTTTTCCGATTATAGACACCGTCATTGATAGAGAAACCTTCTTTCTGTGGTAGAGACTTTGACTATTTTTCAGACAAAAACAAAAAAAAACAATTTAATAATTTATTATGTTATTTTTATGGGGCTTTTGCAAAAATGCCACTTTTCAAAATACCCTTTTTTTTATACCTTATAAAAAATGATCTTAAAAATATAAGACTTACCCAAATATGTATGTATTATTATTAAAACATACACAAACTACATTTCTATGTATCTAAAATCTTATAAATACTTTATAAATACCATATAAATGCATTTTAAATACCTTTAAAAAACTTTAAAATATCTTGTAAAACCTTTGAAAAACCTTAAAAATCCTTTAAAATAACTTGTAAAACCTTTAAAACACCTTATAAAACCTTATAAATACTTGGATCGAGTCTTCAAGTAGTAGTTACAATCCATAAGTACCTTATAAACCTAATAAAACTTTATAAAAATTTCAGATTTAAAAAGAGGCATTTTTGAAAAGGAACACACCAAAAAGAGTATTTTTAACAATTTCCCTATTTTTATTCTCTCTTTGATTTTCCATTATTGTTGAGGTTCATAGAAATTGTTTGGATTTTATCGAAGTAGCAAAGGAAAATCTTAACTGATTCAATTCTTCTTTGTTCAAACTTTTTTAGTTTAGGCTTCGTCTTGTAAAACGTCGATAGATTATAGTCATTGACCAAAAAAAAAAAAACTGATAAATAAATAATTCTTGAGAGTAAAAGGAATATAAATGTTCAAAATTACTTACAAAAGTAATAAATAAAACCACTGAGTAGTTTTGGGGGTGAATAACAAAACTTTAACCGAAAAAATTAGAACTAAAGTAGGTGCTTAGTTTAATCTTACAACCAGTTTGTTAAGCATTTTCGAAAGTTTTTAAAAACTTAAGGCTTTTCAGTTTTTAAGTTCTAAACATTTTTTCTTCAATCACAAGTTGCACATGTTGTAAAAACGTTTATTTTCTTTTTGAATATAATTTATCATTAAATTCAAAAAATAAAATAAGGTTTTTAAGAAAGTGATCAGTTGCTGGCAAACAAAAAAAATTCTGTTTTGGTTTAGTTCCTCTAAAAAATAAATAAACGGGGTTTTCTATTTTGAATTAGATTGTAATATATTGTGTTTATATTTTGTTAGCAAAATGTTTTTTAGTTTCAACATGAATGTCGATGTGTAAAGTCATACCTTCTTTGTTGATATTCTGATTAATGTGGACTGAAACTTATACTTTGTAGAAAGATATATATTAAGAAATCTTCAAGATTAAGTATATGAACAATTAAATTATTTTGTTGGACATTCTAGTTGTGATGCATTGAAACTTATCCGCGTTGTTATGAAACAATACGCGTTGTTGCGACTATTTTCTTTTTCTTTTTTGGTCATCAATTTCTTTTATAATAAAACATTAAAAAAAATAGATCCACTTTCTAGTAAATGAGTTCGAGGACATCATAGTTGAAATGAATATATAGTTCCGAATCAGTTAAAGTACATAAAAAAGTTTCTTACATTTCTTTTCAAAGTTGAAGGATATATGTTTGTTTTTAGGGATTATTACGGATTTTGCCTTTTTTTATAATGACATTTATGGATTTTGTCCTTTTTTGAATAATTTATGGATTTTGCCATTTTTTAACACTTAAAATGTACGTATTTATAATTTTTTTTTGCAAAAATACGTACATTATACCAAATACTAAATCCTAAGAACAACTGGAACCGACTAAACCCAAACATAACGAATGAAACGCATGTTAAATCATATTTTTGGAGCCTAAAAAATGGCAAAATCCATAAATTATTCAAAAAAGGGCAAAATCCATAAATGTCATTATAAAAAAGGGCAAAATCCGTAATTAACTCTTGTTTTTAACTAGATCAACAAACAATTAATCCTCAATGTTTAAATACTAAACTAATTTAGAAACAATCAACAAAAATTTGATTGACTAAACAACATACAATTAAACTAAATAGACACTAACCATCCATGTCACAATCTTTCCCTCAAGCTCACGACCAGAAGAAGTTTTATTAATCGCCTCCATGTGGGAAGGCTCCTTCGCCTCCAAGCGGACGTAATAAATCTCGATTTCATTTCCATTTTTCCTGCATGTGTTTAGTATCAATATACAATATAACATATCAAAGCAGTAGAAAATCCTGCTGCAGAAAAAATCATTATATGCAAGTCTGAGACAATCGATTCATTACTGTTCTTTAATTCAAAAGTTATTCTAGAAATATACTAATAGATATTGTATCATTTGATAACGTTTCTGATCACTTGAAATTTTTATATGAAGATGTGCTGAATTCAATATATATATATATTTTTTTATTGTATATTTTTCTGCCACGATGTATAGGGTACCAATATATTTCTATTAGGAGAAATTTTTTTTTTCCTCTATTTGGTGAGAGCATCGATGTGCACCTTAATGGCCTAAGACATCAATATAGCTGCATTTATGTGAAGTAGAGAAGTTTAGTTTGTTTGACGTAATTATTCAATTGAGAGAGTCTATCCTTTTTTTTTTTTTGCCAGCCGAGAGAGTCTATCCTTTTTCATCTAAGGTTTTCTTTTGTTTTGTTTTAAGTCTAAGATATTCAATATGTGCTATGGTCTATGGCTATTAAGCCTCTTTGATTTTTTTTTTTTCCTCTTAATTTTGTTACCTTCCGTGTTCTCCACAAATGTGTTGCTCTTTTCCTCCATTAATTCGAGTAAAGATGAAATGAATAAAAATAACAGTTAAACACTTGGATCTTCATGTTATAAAAATAAATTTTAATATCATAAAAAAGATTTAGGCTTTGAATGGATGTTGACCATGCAATTTAGTTTTCTAGAGTTGGCTTTTTATTTTTGGAGAGAAATAACGTAGCTGAAGAAAAAAAAAATTGATTTATTGGAGAAGTAAATATCAAAAAACTTAAATGGCCAACTAATATATAAAAGAAAGTTTTCCTTGCACATATAAAGAAATGGAGGGTACTTACCAAAAAAAAAAAAAAATGGAGGGTAAGCTATAATTTTTTAAAAACAAACGTCTTAACACATCACTCATCGAAGTCCACATTTAATTATTAAAACTCTGAATGTAATTTCAACTTTCAACCACCTGATCATGTTTCTACTTTTCAATAGTTAATTTTCTTTTTATAAAGCAAATATGGTTGCAAACTTGCAATTGTGAGTGTATCATCATGTAGGCTAATGCGTGTAGCCATGCAGTTCCTGAGATCCTGCTAAAAAGACCAAATCATGCATGTACGTATCTTAAGCGACACTTTGGTCAATAAAGCTATATAAAAAGTCGATTACTTTGTTTACACGAAATATCAGCAGAATTAGGGGTGAATTGGTCATTATAAAAGAAATGGGGTATAAAAGCGAAGCATCCTTGAAACGCAAGCCATCTTTGGCATTTTATCATTATCTTTTCTTTTTATCTTTAACTGGTTATTGGACATATATATATATATATATATATATATATATATATATAGTTTTATTGTCTTTACAAGTGAAACTTAAAAGTTACTAAATCGAAGACTATATGAATGGTCCAAGCCTCTACTTTTGGCTGAAAGTTTGAATATACAACCATGGATTATAATTGTATTTCACCATGGATTAGAATTAAGCACCAGTGAACCTAAAACGTCGCAACTTAAACACCAGCAGAAACTACAAAATGCAGAATTAACAGAATAAGAGCATCATTATTGATGGACTCTTAACTTTTGCTCTTAACATTATTTAAAATTAAAATTTTGCTTTTTGAAAGCTAAGATACAAAGAGAATATCTTAACAAAAATGTTCTCCAATGGTTGGTTCTTAAGAAAAAAATTTCAAATTTTTGCAAAACAATATTTTCCAATACAAACATTCATACAACCAAACTCATACAAGCTTTGATATCTATCATTTTCACTAAACATGTCTCTTGCATGCTGTTTCTTTTTTGCAAACTGTCATCAGAGAAATCCTTGAAATGTTGCCAAGAACATTCATCATTATTGCACCTTCCACGTAACTCGTACATGCAGAGAGGCCAAGAAGGGTCCACCTTCAAATAAAAGGTGTAGAAGCCAATTTTTTTCTCAAATACTGTAGTTTCAGTCAAGCTCCTACATTGTCTTTTATCACTATATAGGCTATATGACTTGTTTTGAAGTGTATATTCTGGTCCCAGAGACGTAATTGAAAACCTTGGTACTTTCAGATGATAGATTGTGCTCCGAAATAAAGGACCTGACAAAGCTACAGACGATAAAAGGTCATTCTCTGGTGAACTCCTATGGGACTCCATATCTATAGATGACTGAAATTCCTCCATTGAGCTTCAACACAAAACCATGTGAGGTTTTTGAGACACATAAAGACAATTGACAAAAAGATTCAAGCTTTAACACACAACTCACATTCAAACAGAGATTCAATTTGACAAAAAAACTATAAACTTTGGTTCTAACAAACCAACGAGGCATTAAACCAGAATGATTAAAGTTCATAGGTGTTGACTAACCTGAATAATTAACTGCACATCATTGATATCTAGACCACGAGCAGCAACATTTGTAGCCACCAATGTAGAAAACTTGCCATTCCTAAATCCAGCAAGAGTAACCTATAATCACATTCGCAGCCAAACAGAACCTGCAACCAAAATCAAACATAAACTGAGTCTTATTCCTAGTCATTGGATAACATCATTTTAGTTTAAACAACTTCCACAGCTAATTACAAGAATAGAAACTTCCACAACTTCCACAACTCAATCATAGATACAATGCTCCATAGAAATAAAACCATAATTACTATGTCATCACAGTGAATTATATCTCACAAAAGAAAGAACAAAGTAAATTCAGAAAAGCAACTATATCAAACATATAAGGAAGGAAGAATCTGGCACCTTTTGGATCAACTTCACGAGAGATCTTAATGGCATCAGATGTAGCAAGATCCTGATTTGCAGGGGAAATAGCTAGTATGATGCAGTTGGGCTGTCAAAAGCCCAAACCTGACCACCGACGACGGCAATGAGTCCCACAGAGTTGGGAGGGAGCTTCCCTCGCCGTAATCTCCCAGAGCTGTACAGGCTCTCTGAATCTTGTTCACAAGCGCAATCAAAATCTCCATAACAAAATCAAACCTAATCAGCTCCGATTACTCAACGGCGGAATCAATATTCCGGAAGTCTCTGGAAGAGAATCAACAGACTTCTCCTTCCAAACAGACCAAATTAAAAATCGAAAGCCTCCATGGTTCGCGTGAAAGAGAGAGAGAGGGTAGGAGAAGAGAGAGAGGGAAAGGAGTAGAATAAAAGCTTGACACGTGTACGTCTCTTAGGTGAATAAAAGCCTCTTAGTTAAGGAACGTTGTTTAATGTTAAAGGAGAAAATTCAATAAATTTAATCACTTTTATTCCTAAGATTTTCTTAAGATCTACCTAACATACTCCCGTTAATGATGCTCTAACGAAATGAAATAACATGATCTTAATTTCTTCTCTATGTCGATGTTTTCCTAGTCGTTAGAAATTAGATACTCGAGTGCTGACACCATGATTATGTAAACGAAGAAAAAGTAATAATGCATTCCATACTAATTTGATAGGATGACACGTCAAAATCACGTCCAAATTTAATTATTTTATCTCGTATCACAACGATTACTATAGTATATCTATATCTATCGTCAAATAACGTATAGTTGTAATTTTATACTATGTGTTTTTTATTGGAAAATTAGATGCATAGTCGTAGTTTTATGTTTTGATGTAGAAAATTAAAAGTCAAAAAAGTAACAAATAATAATAATGACGAGAGCGATGATGCAAGGGCTTGAAATCGGAATATAAATTCGATCACGAGCTGTCAAGAACTAGATCCAATGGCTAGATTGTCATCGTCGGAGATCGGACGGACAAGATTTGTTGACCCTACCCCTCGGTCAATTTAACACCTACTTGGTTGTCTTCATAGAGCTCGGACCATATTCGTTGACTTAATCACTTTCTCAAGAAAAATTATAATCCTTCTCCATAAATATCTTATCGATAGATTCTTCAAAATTATGATGCCAATTAGTTGTGAGTTATGTGTTGGCTATGCATTTGTTGTAACAAAAATGAGGTTGAGTGATTGGTTTGGTAAAAAAAAAGCTACTCCCTTTGTTCATAAAAGATTGATGTTCTACTTTTTATTGGTTGTTCAATAAAATTTGATTTTCTAGTATTTTTCTTTTATTTTTGTTAATTTATAGTAGTAAATTGTAAATTTCAATATTCAATGATTATAAATCATTAAAGACTACCATTGGTTGATAATTATTAAAAATATTTTAAACTAAAAACAATGTTAAAATAATTAAACAATGATTGAGTTCTTAATATATGTGACAACTCCAAAACATCAAACTATTAGGAACAGAGGGAGTATTTAGTTAATTTGAAAAAATTTAGAATTTATACGACGATTCAAGGAATCATTTTTCCATTCTTTAATTTAATTGAAATATATAATCGTCCGTTTATATAACAATCCATTTGTATGGTCTTTTTAATTCTAGTTTTTTCTGTTAACTAATACGTGTTAGTCACTAACATATCTTGTGTCAATGTGTTAAGATTGATTAGTTGTTAAATAATGTAAAATTTGAATATATTAAACACCATAATTCATGTTTTGAAAAAGACATCTTCTAGAGAAAACAAGTAAGCCGAGAAAGCTCTGTTTTATATTAAAATTAAAAACAATTTTTGAGGGAAAACGAACATGATGATGATGAGCGTGACAGCAACATATCATCATTATTATGTTATTTTTAATTTTTAAAAGAAAACCAATGTTTTAATTTCCCGCACCAACCCCACTTTTCTTTTTTCTTTGTCCAATACCAGACCAGGTGCGAACGACGGCGTTTTACTTTGACCACGTCTACCCCCTATATTATCCGAAATTTTCAAAATTGCCCCACTAGTTTTTTTTCATTCAATCGTTAGCTAATTATAAACCGAAAATGACACTATAATTGATTAATTGTGTGGTTTTGCATTGTTTTTACCAAAAAAATGATTATGTAAAATCGTAATTTATATTTGACATTTTTGCGATTATGCATTTTACTTACAGTTTTTTCTCCATTTTAATTTTTTTAAAACTATTTATTACGTCGTTTGATCTATCATTTTTATGACCAATTATGTCGTTCTACAATATTAATGATAAAAGACAATGTATGTTTGTTAAGAACCCATCATGAACAAAACTAAATTTGAAAAAAAAAATAGTTAATGGATCTGTTTAAAAATCATCAATGAGTGGTTAAATATTTAAATATAAGAGAAATTGTTAAAAATGCCCCTTTTTCAATACCCCTTTTCAAAAATGCCCCCTTTGAGAGTCTATTTTTAAGTTTGCCCTCTTTTAATTTTTAATGACCATTTTACCCTTATTTGAAACAAAATTAGGTCCACAAAATACAAAATATTTTTTGGTGGGAAAAGTGATCCCGCAATTTTCCTGCCAAAACACTTGTAAAAACCTTTAAAAAACCTTGTAAAATTTTCCCGTAAAAATTTTTCCCGCCAAAAAATTTTCCCGCCAAAAAATTTTTTTTGCGGGAAAAGTGATTCCGCAATTTTTTTTGCGAAATTTTTTTGGCGGGAAAATTTTTGGCGGAAAAAATTTACAAGGTATTTTAAAGGTTTTTTACAAGGTATTTACAAGTGTTTTGTAAGGTTTTACAATGTATTTTAAAAGGTTTTACAAGGTACTTTAAGGTTTTATAAGGTATTTATAACTTGTAAAACCTTATAAAAAACTTGTAAAACCTTATAACTTGTAAAAACCTTATAAAATAGCTTGTAAAATCTTATAATATATTATAACTACCTTGTAAATACGTTGTAAAACCATTAAAAAGCATTGTAAAT